TTAGGTAGCGCATATAGTCTGCGACATTCTGACCCATGATGTGCTTCCGATGTACTTCTGCAGTAAACGCCTTGCTTTCAGAGTCATAACCAGGGAATCGTTTGGTGCTGTGAGGGATAGACAGGCCTCCATCCACAGCACCCTTTAGGGCTCCAAAAACCTTATTGCCAGTTGTAGTTCTGGCGAGGCCTGCAGCCAAGCAGCAGGTGAAGGCACCAGGTTTGCCATCAGTGCTTTCCACATTGTACTCATCTCCAGTCACCTCCCCCTGGCCTTCATAGATCGTATCCATGCCAAGCCTACTGAGAAGCCTGCGGGCCAGCAACAGGCCAGTACAATATGCTGCAGCATAATTTGTTAGGCCAACTTTCACACCATACTTCGGTAGTTCATGTGCGTATGCCGCACAGACTATCATATCCCCTTCAATACGGGCATAAGCAATCTGACAAATGATATCTCTGTTAGTTACACAAACTATCATCCTGTATTTAGGCGTGTTGTACTTATTTTTGTCCTGTATTACCAAGCGTTTCCTATCATAGTAATCAGTTTTTCCCTCTCGTCGTCTTCTAAACTTCACTTGGTATCTCTTAAAGTAGGCCTTATTCTTGACAACCTTAACAAAACCCATCCTGTGTAATATAGACCCACGTCCGCGGCCCTACACAGACCTGCAGGCCAAGCAGCACCACAGGGGGAAAAAGGGTAATTGTTCTTTAGTTGAAGACAACGATAGTGTACATTTTATGGCTTGCTATTGCCTTTCAGTCAACTGCTTAAATGGAATGTGTGGCCCCCTTTTATCCAGGAGAAATTTTGCAGACTTTTCTGAAAGCTTAAAAACCTGTGCTGTCTGGTTCCAGGAGCTCGTGTCAATGCCAAGGACAACATGTGGCTGACCCCTCTACACCGGGCTGTGGCTTCCAGGAGTGAGGTGAGTGATGACTTCATTTCATCTGCTACCTGCTGCCCCCAGAGAAAGCAGTCTTTCCAGTGGGTTGGGGACCCTCACTAGGGAGCAAGAGCTCTTAGGCCTAATGCAAGAAGGTTACCAAAAATGAACGGATGCCTCACTGAGCCCCTCCTGCCTGTCCAGGGGCCAGGGGAGTCATGGGGGGAAGGTCCACGCTGGCCGGCCTGGGCTTTGACCTCAGTTGCCTTTAAGGCTTGAGGGGGAGGAGGACGGGATGCAGATCACACAATACCAGAATATAGCTGGAGGAGAGAAGAGCCGAGCATAGAGGCAGTCCTCCGAGAAAAGATAACTTTGATCCAGTCCCTGAAGGATGAGTGGGGCAGTCACAGGCCAGGAGAGGAGGAAGGGCTGAGGCATGGGCAGGAGCGACGGTGGCTTGGAAAGACATAAGGAGACACAAGGGTGGTGAGGCACAAGTCAGATGGTGGGGTCGGGCCGGTGGCGGAGAGCCGGAGGCAGTGATCCCAGTTATTAGAGGTAGACCTCACAGGGCCAGGTGCCTTGTGCGGGGTGACATGGAAGAGAAGCCAGTGAGTAGATGGTGATATCGTAAGCTGTGTTAATCAGCTTTCTTTTTGCTGAGATGTCGTACCTGACACCTAGAACCTAATATCGGCTTTTGATTTTGGGGGTTCAGTCCATGGTAGGCTGGCTCCAAGGGGGAGCATCATGGTGCAAGGGAGAGGTGCAATGAAGACACTTAGTTCATGGCGTTCAGGAAGCAGAGCTGTTAGGGGAGGGGATCCAAAGCTGGGCCTCCATGGCCTGCCCAGGCACAGCCTGAAGCTTGCATTCCTAGTCCCTGGTGGCTGCCCAGGCAATCACGTCTCCCGTTAGGCAGCCACTACGCTGACTGTGAAGACTCGGAGTGGTAGGGGCAGAGTCTGGGAAGCAAGTAGGTTGTTTTCAGGTCACCAAGTCTGGGAACAACACCTTGAAACATATGCTCCATGAAGATAGGGATCTGTGTTTGTTCCTTGATGCACCCCAGTGTACCCCAGGTACACTGAAGAAACAAAGAAACAGCCCATTACCAAGTGCTGAAAATTCAGGTGAAGATGGCTCATAGGTTACGATTGTTTGTATGGTCCAGAGACGGGGCACATGATCTGGTTCGGGGGATAGAAGGAAAGAGAAGAGACCTTTGTGGTGGGGGCAGGGAGCCCTGGGGGGCCAGCCAGGCGTGAGGAGATGCCCACCATGCAGGATACAGGATTCTCACCCGGAGGTCTTGGTGGGTCAGTTTGTCCCATGAAGCTCCGGCTTTGGAGAAGGCAGTGTGCTCCAGGCACACGCAGGGGCAAGAGAGCAAATGCACCAAAGTCGCACGTGCTAATGGTTAGCGTGGGTGCTAGCTTATCCCCCTTGGCAGCTACTTTGTAAACGTACTTGGTCCCAGATATACTTCGTAGATGACGACCTAGCGCTCACTTTCTTCCAGGCTGGGCTGCATAACTTGAGAATTTTCAAAAAGAGGTGTATATTGTCTTTCTGAATGGTTCACATGGAAAAGGGAGGTAAATAACTCTCAATTGCCTTGCCTGGGTGCTGGGAGACTCAGCACCTTCGTGTGGACCCACGCTGCATTTCTGTGTTTTCTGGGAAGGCCGGGGCCTTGGGCTGCTTGAGTGGGTAGGGCCGTGCCGTGAGATCAGCTCGTCGTAGGGAAGCATTTCCTGTCTAAATTTCAGGACTGATTGTTGGTAAATTGCTTTTCAGCACTCCTCAATATAGGGGATTGGCCTGTTTCCTTTTTAACAAGGTTGTTTTAGTTTTTTAAAAGCTACTGTGCTTGCTGATGAAGCTACAAAGAGGAGTAGGATCTGTGAGTCTCGCCCTCAGGGTGCAGTGCAGGCAGGAAGGACACACGGGTCATTTCAGGACATGAAGCTCGCCTCGGCGCCCTTTTTGGGTGCTTTACACCACTCTCAGCTGTGGCTTCCAAGGCTTCCATTCTCAGAACACCGTTTCCAGCAGCCATCAGCCCACGTTCTCCATCTTTAGAGGCTTCGATCCCAGTGGACTCAATGATGGGACAGCCGTCCTGTCTGAGAAAAGCCATGGCAGCTTCTCCAGGTCAGCTCCCTCTGCAGGTTTGCCAGGGAAAATGTCCCTGCAGGTGTCTGTCAGGGAGGATTGAATGCAAACAAACCCTGAGTTGTAAATAATCATGATCTTATAGCACTCTGAAAGAGGGTGTCTGTGCTGACACCTGTCCCAGCCAGCTGCAAAGCTCCTTGGGAAAGTGGGTGTCTGTCCCCAGAGCTGCCCTGCAGTGAGCTGGACTCCATGCCCAGCACCCAGACTTCTGTGTCCTTTTGCATTTGGTCCTTTTGCCTGTCAGCCTTGGCCAAAGAGGACACCCGGTTTCTGCTCAGGGCGATATGTGTTTGCGAAGCTGTTTCTTCCTCATCCTCACAGCCTCCTCGGGTCCCACAGTTGCCAGGGCTGGGAGTGTATCTGCCAGGCCTGCTATCTTAGCCAGGCACATCTGGGCTGCTGGAGAGAGTAGCCCAGCGCCGTTGTGAGCGACTCCTCGTCTCCCCTCTTGGCTTACTCCTGCTGCTCTTTCTTGGAAAGCAGCAGTGGTCAGGAGAGGAACTCTGTGCGCTCACACCCAGGGAGCCGGTGAGCGCTCCTGGAAGCTGAGCTCCTGTTTAGCGAATCCTGTGGGGGCAGCGGGGCCCGGAGGGTCTATGAAGTGGGACTCCGAGGTGGCAGGCTTTGGGGCTTGGCTGGGACCGGCCTTCACACAGCCCCTCCCCTTGCAGAGAGCCGACAGTGTCGCCAAGGAGCAGTGCTGCTCTTCCCACTTCTCTTCTAGAAAGGATCCTCTGTTAGCAAAGCTACAGTGGTTGTGTCTCACTCTGGGGTGTAGACCGAGGACGCTGTGTCCCTCTGTGAGCCCTGCCAGGAGCAGTTAGGAAGCAGGTGCCGTGCGCAGGTCGAGCGCCCTGACCGATGCCCCGTGCGTGATTCCACCCTCATCTCCAGCCGTAGCACTAGTGGTGGCCCTAACCCAGGAAATGGGATCTCAGGGCAGGAAGGGGCCAGAGGTGCTCCAGGCAGAGCGGGAGCGCCCGGGGGCTGCTCGCTGACTGCTCGGGCCCTGCTTGCCTCGTCCTGTGGTGACTGTCAGCCGATGAAGTGCATCCACTCCTGGCCCCTGCGCAGGTGGAATTCCCGGCTGGCGTTAAGACCCTTCCCGCAGCCGAGCAGGACGAGTGTGCTGCTTCATAGCCTAAAGTTTTAAAACTTACAGTTTTTTTTTCCTTCCTCTAAAAAACATTGTCAGCATGATGGGCTGCTAGTAGAAAGGAGAAATGGAAACACTACACAGAAGATTAGAAAGTCATGGGCCTCTTTAAATGATTCTTATCGCTATGGAAAGATCTTTGCCTCTATAATGCAGGCCTTACCAGCACAGGAGGGAAGTAGGCCCTCCGTAATTCATCAGTTAGAAGGAGTTAAGTGGTAGCCAGGCTCAGTGTGTGTAAGACAGCTGCTCTGGAGCCCACCTCCAAGGGTCTGAGGGAACCCATGGCCGGACCCAGAAATCTGCATCTTAAGAGCGAGGCTCTGGGGCCCGTCGTCTGTGCACCAGACTTAGAGCCCTGGGCCTGGTTTCCTAACATTTAAAGTCAGTGCTTTAAATAATTCTCGCCGATCCCAGGTCTCCAGCGGGCCACGTTTGTGCTACTAGTTCTTGTGCTCTGTGATAATGATAATAATTAAGAGCAAGTTGAGTTTGATGGTGGATACTTCTAGGGGAACAATCCCATTAATTGAGCGTATTGGTTGAACATCAATTTATACAATTCTTGTAGGATGAATATGAAATTACTATAATCAACATGGACAGGGCTGGGAACATAGCTCAGTGACTTACGTGCCTGCCTGGCAAGCACAAGGCCCTGAGTTCAATCCTAGGTACCTAAATAAATAAATAAATCAACCATCGATAAAGGTTTCATGTGATTATAGTAATACAACAAAAGCCTTCAGAGCCTGAGTGTAGCCTCAGGAGCACCCACCTGAGCCACAGCGAGTGTCCTGTTAATACCTGTAGATTGTTACTTTTGGAATTTTCTGGTGATTTCAGCAGTATATCTATTCCACCCAAATGTATCAAACATACACTATGTGCAGGGAATAGACCAAACTATATGGAGAGTGTAGAAAGTTGTCTAAGACGCAGACCTTGGACAAAAGCAACTTAACACTGGTAAAATTTGACATTGCTTGGGCTTGCAAGAAATATGTCCCACAGCTAGCAGCACTGCTTCTGTAGGGACCCCGTAGGGACACCTTAGATGTGGCGCACACTTGTTGGTAAGAGTAAGATCCTGCATGGTCGCTTTTAGCCCTCGCGGTTTCTATTTCTTCTCACCCTTTCCACGTGCCACAGTGTGTGTGTCCACACCCTGTTACAAGGTTGGAGTGGCTTTTACAGAAAGTCATATGACTGTCAGGACCACCTCTAGGTCCCGCCCTTGTGGGATGTGTGAGGGCCCCTCCCATGTGTCCGCTGTTCTGTGGCTTACCTGGGCCAGCCTGCTACGGGCTGTTGCCCAACAAGGCATATAGCCACAGGGCTAGCTGGGAGCCAGGCTGAGAGCCTCCACTCAGGGGGCAGCCCAGAACCTTCCGTGTTTCGTTCACTGAGAAGGGAGCAAAGGCTCCTCAGGGGCCGCTCAGGGTGTGGCTACGTGCTAGTGTGGACCTGGAGCTTCTGAGCTTCCTGTGTGGTGAGAGTGAGTGTTCAGCAAGTTTTAGTGCAATTTAATTGTTTCAGGCCTGTTACATTTAATAATAAAATAATCAAATTAAAGATTATTTTCTCTCACATCTTCTTTGTTATCTTTAGTTTTGTTTGTCCACATCTGTAGCACACTGTGATGACAGTCAGGGTGGGAGCCAGTGTGAGCACAGCACACGTGTGAAGTCCTGTCACCTCTCTTCTCCTGCACTCCCGTCCCTCCAACTCCTGGTCGCCTCCCCATATTTCCCATGTATTTCATAGAGGCATTGGTTCTTGGTGACTGACGTAATAATTTCTTAAAAGTAGCCCTCCGCCACAGAGCGATGGAGCGTCTCCCGACTCAGGGAGAGTTCGTCTTCCCTTTTCCCACCACAACTTCCTTTTCTCACCTGTACCTTTCTGTTAGAGCCAACTCCTGAGGCCCACTTTTAGCCAACGCTGGTACAGGAGAAGAAACACTTCGTTGATTTAAAAAAATTCATTAATTTCCTAAATAGTCATAAAATTATTCCCATGTAAAACCAAGTTAGAAAGCTTCCATGGCGTAAATTTTGAAAAGAGGAATGCAGTTTTTAAAAACAGAAGTTGTCTTTTTATCAACCCTTCTGCCCGGCCTACATACTATATTAAATTGCTATTAAATGCGTCACACCACGTTGGCAGCCCAGGTCTTTCGACCTTCTAACTGCCAGTGCCTGAGGAGCTCTGACAGCTGAGAGCGTTGGCGCCGGGCTGCAGGCCGACTGTCATGGGCGAGCTGGGGCCTGGGAGAAGACACTGGTGCCTCGGCCGGGCTGATCCCCGCGGCCCCCACGGTCTGTGTTCTGAGCATCTGTAGATCCAGCTCCATAGCCATTTAAAACTACTATATCTTCATTCTTCAGAAAGTGAATCTTTGGAAGGGAAGTGAGACTGTCTCCAAGTGCTGCATGCCCCTGGGTGGGGCACTTACGAGGGACCTAAAAACTGCAACTCACTATACAGAGAACTAAAAACTCAAGTGTCAAGGTGGAGCCATTTTCTTCTGGTACTGGCCATCAGACTCAAGACCTTGTGCTTGCCAGGCAGGCACGTAAGCCTGTGAGCTGTTTCCCCAGCCCCTGGAGCCATTTTCAAAAGCCGGGAAATCAGTTCTGGCTCTGCTCAGTGCCCTTGGTAGGATGTGATTGATACGGTTCCACTGGGGACTGCCTGGTGTCCTCAAAGCTGTGGGGCACCACCCACTTCTCCCTGCCCCCCTCCCCACTCCCCATAATGAACTTGAACCTTTTCCTTTCCTGGGGTTTTAGGTGCAACCCAGATCTTGGTCCCATCAAGTTGCTTCTCAACAGATAGGCTCGCCTAGGGACTCCACACCCTGGCTTGTGCAAAGTCTAATGGGCCTTCTGTGCTTTCAGAGAATGTTTGGAGATCTAGTGTGGTTGCTGGGCCCTACAAGCCTGCTCCTCCTCCATGAGTTCTGTTGGTGTCCTCTTTCTTTCCCTCTGCGTATGCACCCTGCTGTGCAGGCCCTGGCCTCCTCTGTTGTCTCTCTGTCCTGACCTCTTCCTGCCTGCTGTGGTCTACCTGCCCTTATTCCATCATGCACTGCAGCGCAGCTCTGCACCCTGTCCCAAGGGCACCACTGACCTTCCCCAGCACATGCACATGGAGAGCCCCCTTTCTTCCCTGGGGGGCCCTGGCACTCACAGCATTTGCCCTCCTTACAAGGTGGCTTGGCTATAAGTAGTACTTTGCAGATAACATTTTATCTTAAACAGATTTGATAGTTTCCAGTTTATGGTGAAACAGGGACCAGATGAAGGATCTGCAGTTTCCTGTGAAAAGCCAGCTAGCAGGTACTTCAGGCTCCACAAGCACCCACAGTGCTTCAGCCACAAGGCAGAATACAGCTTGCCAGTGGTTTCAGGGCCCTGGAGGCTGGTTGATAAAGAAGACAGGTTCCCCTCCCAACGTTGAAAGTATTTATTTATCTGTAGACTATAACTGGCATGTGAATGTCTGCTATCTTTGCTTAGCATGGTGCTTTGTGTGAACTGCCAATCATTCCCGTGCATTCATTTCAAAGCAGGGCGAGGCAACTGCCGATTTCCCATGCATTTGTTGATCTTATCTCCAAGTAATATAAACTCATGGAAGGAGCTTGTATATTTTTTGTTAGTCTGCCATGAACTTGCTTAATATTTATTACAAAGCAAGAACACATGCAAGCAAATAAAAAGCGCCCAAGGGGAAGTATTTAAGTGACAGCATACTCTGCTGCTGTTCCGAGGTGTGTGCAACGGACATCGTGCTGTGTTTTATGGTATTACTTTGAGTATTGTCTTGGATTATATATCTCCAAAATTTAGGGGTCGCACACATCCTCAAAACATACATTTTTTTTTTTTTTTTTTGGTACTGAGGATCGAAGCCAGGGTGTTGTGCTTGCCAGGCAGGCGCTGATGCTGCTGCGCTGTCATGCATCTCATTTGCGCATAGGTCACGAAGACGCTCTAGCGAATACGCACAGGCACCCATACGCAGGGTGAGGCTCTTCCCTTTGTCTTCTGCGCCCGTGTGGTTCGTGCTCTGCTGGTGATCTTCCTGTGCCTTGGCCACATTCTCCTCAGGTCTGATTAAAGCTGTCACTCCTTTCACCCTGTGAGGCTGACAATAGCAAGCTTCCATGGCATAGCGAGGGCTTCAGCCCCGATCCACGAGTGGCCCAGGTGTGGCTTCCTTTGTGGATCCTTGTCCACTTTGGCTCCCTTAGTTTGGGATGTGTGTTTGGGGTGTGTCCTAAGGAACTTCAGCTTTTGGGATGTGTGTATACATATTTCACTCAAAAATGGACTCAGGGAGTGTTCAGTAGTATTTTGCTGTCGTTCTCTGTGAGGATACGTGGCATCGTTCTTCCTCTTTGTTTTGTAATCTTAAATTACTTGCGTGGGTCCTGGGAGCCTTTTATTTCCACTATCCACATGGACCGAACTTAGTTAACCACCAGTGTATTGTCTCAGTGGAGTGGTTGATTTCTTTTTGTTCTCATTCTGCTGTCCAGGCCAGCCGTTCCTCTGGGCATACTGCTGCGGCTGATTCAGGAACATTCCTTACGTTTCATCATTTATAGCCCTGATTTTTCTGGGTTCGAGACCTCTCCTGGGGCACTTTTCTATGCATGCATGGTAAAGAAGACTACACAGGCCAGTCCTGCAGGGACTGAGGTGACAAAAAGTACATTTTTGGTCCATGAAGGCTGGCCTTCATGTGGTACTGAGGCCTTCCATTTGTTATTGGTGCAATGTTGACAAGGTGGCTGTATAGAGGCACCAGGGAGGCCGCTGGATGTAGCGAAGCAGCCAGCAGCCATCCCCATCTTAAGAGAGCCGCGTCAGTCCCCGACTGGGCCAAGGGGCACTTTCCAGCAGGTCCCCTACACCCTGCATGGAGGGGCCAGACGTCTGAATTTCTGAAACTCTCTAGTTGATTCCCCTGAGTAGGCAGCAATGAGATTCTCAGGAGGCTGTTGAGCAGAGTAGGTCAGCAAAAGTTGTTGAAAAACTAAAAGTGTGAAGCTTACTAAAGCTAAGGAAAGTCGACAGTGGCAGAGGAGCCCACCCATTACATCCCAGAAAAGGCTGAGGAACAATCTCACAGCTTCAAGCCGGGATAGGACCGGATGGGTATTTTCCTTGAGTGCATACTGATTGCATGAGACTGAGGGTTGAGATGTTGGCAGACAGAACTGGAGGTGTAGAAGCTGGGCCAAGAGGCCTTTCAGTGGGGGGCTTAGCAGCACACTGCACACACCCTGGTCTACGGCCGCCTGCCCGAGTGTGCTCGCAGGGCCAGTGCTGGGCATCTTATACTCAGAGCTGGTAACTGAGCCCTTGTGAGCCAACTCTGCCTTCGTTATAGGAAGCAGTTCAAGTGCTGATCAAGCACTCAGCCGATGTCAACGCAAGGGACAAGAACTGGCAGACGCCCCTGCACGTGGCCGCGGCCAACAAAGCAGTCAAGTGCGCGGAAGTGATCATCCCGCTGCTGAGCAGCGTCAACGTGTCGGACCGCGGCGGGCGCACAGCCTTGCACCACGCCGCTCTGAATGGCCACGTGGAGGTGGGTGTTCCCGCGGGGCGAGGGGGATCCCTTGGCCACGAAGCAAAAGTGAATTTATTGCTGAGACTTTTGGAGAATATGAGGCTGATAGGAAGAACGAGAGAAAATACAGTGAATACTTACATTGTAAAGAATACTTATTACAGTAAAAGACGCATTGACACTAGCTCCCCTCCAAAGCCTCAGCCTCACTTCACTAACACTTGTCTCATGGTCCTTGCCAAGTTTGGCAGCAGCTCTCGAGTCCTCTCTCCTGAGAGTCATTAGTTGTGGCTGCCAAGATATCTTCGATTTAAACCATTTCCCCCAGGGCTGGTGAGATAGCTCAGCAGACTAAGCGCCTGCTTAGGCGAGCGCAGGGCCAGGGTCCGATCCCTGGCACCACCTGCTGTGCTGGCCCTGCCCCCCTGGGCGCGCTGAGTGGGTGATGGAGCCTGGGCATGGTGGCACATGCTGAAATCCCAGGGCTGGGGAGGCTGAAAACAGGAGGATCACTATGAGTCTGAGCTGCACAGTGAGACCCTGTACAAAAAAAAACAAAAACAAAACCAAAAAAAAAAAAAAAAAAAAAAACACCTAAAAAAAAAAAAAAAAAAAAAAAAAAAAAAAAAAAAAAAAAAAAAAACCACCTAAAAAATAAAGAAAGAAAATGTTTCTCTCTCATGGTCATTTTGACCGAAGTCGCAGTGCCGGATCTGGTGAGTCTGGTGCATGAGGAGGGCACACACAGTGTTTCCACGAGCCTGCCTTTGTGTCAGGCGGCGCTCCGCAGCAGCCGCACTTGCTGCACTTCTGTAGCACCTCATGAAGACCCTCAGGAAGTCAGTCTCCAACGCTGCTTCTGAAAGCGGCAAGAACGGCAGGATCAGAGCACCCCGTGTTCAGTCGGACCATTCAGTGTGTGCTTCGGTCATCCCTGCTATTTCCTCTGTCAATGGAGAGCCAAAATGAATTTTAAAAGTAGGTTGTCCTTTCAGCCTTTTCCTCCCACACCCCGGCAGGTCTGCTGTGAGATCACCTTCTGACATCGGAGCTGCAGATCCTTGATGTGCTCTGGGGCTCTGATCGGCTCCAGGCAGAGGGAAGCCCTCCCCCTTACAGGGTGTCGTCTGATCTCTTTGTTGGTTGTCTTCTAGATGGTCAACCTACTCCTAGCCAAAGGGGCGAACATCAACGCATTCGACAAGAAGGACCGGCGCGCGCTGCACTGGGCAGCATACGTAGGTGAGAGGGCGGCCCACGCACGGCGCCCCCAGGGAGCTGCACAGGCTCTCTTGACCGTGCAGGTTTTCTGTAGGGCAAGCCTGCCATCAAGCATGAGTTCCAGGGGGAGGAAGCTGTGGCCTGCGCAGAGCGCTGGAGGTGGGCTGCTGCTCCACACGGGCTTATTTACCCGACGTGGAGGAGGTGTGGTGGCAGAAGGCTGCTCTCAGGGTTTTTCCTTTCTACTTTGGTTGGCGCAGACTCACTGGTAAGCGAGAACCCTGGCAGAGCTGCCCTCGCGCAGACGCGGGGATTGCTGCGCTGAGCTCCTTGGCGGTGTTTCTCGCTGGAAAGCACACTCCATTAGGCAAGAAGACAGGGCCATCGGCAGTGGGTTATAAGCACCTTGAATGCAGCAGACTGTCCTGGTGGGTTCGGGGAGGTCAGCACCCTGGGGCACGATAGCAACTACAGGGTGACGTTTGTTGCCATAGACAGATTGTGCAGCACACTGAGGGAAAATGGACCATAAAGCTCAATGAATAATATGGGCTTCCTTTCAGTAGGGGGAAAAATCTATACAATAAAACTGAAGTCTGAAGCCAGGAGTGGTGGCTAATTCAATCTGTAATCCTAACACTCTGGAAGGTTGAGGCAGGAAAATCCAAATATGAACCCAACCTGTAAACTTAGTGGTTTAGTGAGTCCCTGTCTTAAAATAAAAAATTAAAAGCAAAAGGGCTGGTGATGTATGCGGTGCAGAGCCCCTGCTTCAATCCCCAATGCTCCAAAAACAAGTTAATAAACAAAGAATTCTGGAAAGTACAATGTACAGAAACATTAACGATTATCTATAAGAACTGGTATTTCTATGTAATCTGGGTTTTCTTCTAACACCTATGTGCATTTTTAACAAACATGCGTGTCTTTTATCACTGTAAAAATTAACATTAATGTAGGAAGTAAAATAGAACAGGCTAGGTAAGGATGAAATGAATTACATGGCTACAGACCTTGCGCTTCAAAAGCCCAAGGGTCTTAGAGCTTCGCAAGCTTAGCATTTAAAAACAAAGTGACACCAACTTCCACGCTGGTCGAGGCAGAGTCCGATGTCTGCATGGATCCGGGAGGTATGCGAGCCAAGAGGGGTGCTGAGGCAAAGGTATACCAAGCGCAAGTGGGGGCGACTCAGAGTTGGGGTTGCATGCTCACCCTTTGCTGCTGTATGCTGAAAACATCTGGGTAATGGCTTTAGAGAAGGAAAGTCATTATCATATGTGTCATTGGGTTACACCTTAGGCAAACAATAAAAACCAGGATGGGCAGTCTTAGACAACACCACTAGTAAGGGAAGGTTTATTCTTCTGTGTACAAGTCTTGGGAGAAAAAAGTCAAATTTTAATTTTTAAATTTTAAAAATTTATTTATTTATTTATTTGGTACAGGGTCTCACTACACAGCTCAGATTCATAGTGATCCTCCTGTCCTGGGCTCCCCAGTGCAGGGATTACCAGCGTGTGTCATCACACCTATCTTGGTGGCCGGCATGGCATGTGGTACCAGGATTGAGCCCTGGTCCTTACACTTGCTAGGCAGGTGCTTAGAGGAGGAGGGCTTTCCTTTCCCCTAATTAGTAAGAACACCTTTAGGGTGAGCCATAGGAGAATGTTATTTATATGGGTTAAACTCAGTGCAACCACAGCAAAGCAATGTCCTAGGATTTAACAATCTCCTGGGCTCTTTCAGATGGACTGACTTGTTTCTCCTATCAGTTTTCGCACCCCAAATTGCTCCCACTAGGCTTTTCAGGAAAGAACAACAATTGTTTCAAAACAGCGTTTTCTCTTTAACGCAGTCTGTAAAAGGTGGCAGTGCTAGCACTTGTGGACATGGTGGCAAGCTCGTGCCACTACAGCTCCATCAAGTCTTGTGTATGGATCATCTTTGGCCTTCCTGCAGGATTTACATATTGTCCAGCACATAGTAGGACTTCGACACGTATTTGTTGAACATTTGTCACAAGACAGCTTTTCATAAAAACATCTGGCAGTGTGTGGTAGCAGGTAGAAGCCAATTCTGATCATTCAGATGCCATGAGCCATCCAACTGCCCCACAAAGGTTCACAGTGCTTTCTGCTGCTCTGTCTGTCAAGGCCACCTGGACGTTGTGGCCCTGCTTATTAACCACGGTGCAGAAGTGACCTGCAAGGACAAGAAGGGTTACACCCCGCTCCATGCCGCGGCCTCCAATGGGCAGATCAACGTTGTCAAGCATCTCCTGAATCTCGGTGTAGAGGTGAGTGCCGGCAGATGTACCCCCTTGTGGCCTGAGAGGCTGGTGGTTTCCTGCTGCCTGAAATTAAGCCTTGTATTGTAGTGCAAAGGAAAACACTTATCTTCTAGCATCCTTTCTGTCTGAATTTATTTGGGCACCTTATAAAAGACAGCGGGGTCTGGACTGAAAACCAGCAACAGGCCAGCTTTCCATATCACTGTAGGCAGAGAAGAACCCAGACGTGTGTCTCCTCAGAAGGATATATTAACAGCCACGTTTGGAAGGCTGGCCAGGGCTCCTGGTGCTGCTTAGAAGCAGCCTTTGCTCTCGTGGCTCTCAGCTGAACCAAGGCCTGGGTGTTGGGGAGAAAGGGCGGAACGGTGTGATGCTGAGCTAGAAGAGCGCCCAGGAAAGTGCCTCCCGCACACAGACAGCTCTCAGGAAGCTGCAGTGAGCCGGGGACTAAGGCCTGCCCCAGCAGAGCCCCCACTGCTCTGAAACTGGACAGCAGCTCGGTGCAGAAGCGAGGTCGGCGCTCCACAGCGTTCCGCCCTTCTCTTCTGCTGTGGCGCCCAGCCTGGCTTGGGCCCTGCTCGCCCGATTCCCTTCTGTCTGCCTGCCTTTCACCTTTCCTATCCCCGGCCACCGTGCTGACCCCGTGGCATCCAGGCTCTTCCTCTTGCTGGGTCACTTTTCACCGCACTCACTGGGGCCAATCTGCACCTGGGGTAGGAAGTTCGCCCAGAGTAATCTCTGGGCCTGAGTGCGTGAGCACTGGCAAAGGGCGGCCCTTACTCTCTGTGGCAGTGGGCCGCAGGTCTCCATGAGGCGGCCACCTCCCTTGCAGATCGACGAAATCAACGTGTACGGGAACACGGCCCTGCACATCGCCTGTTACAACGGCCAGGACGCGGTGGTGAGCGAGCTGATTGACTACGGCGCCAACGTGAACCAGCCCAACAACAGCGGCTTCACCCCGCTGCACCTCGCCGCCGCCTCCACCCACGGAGCCCTGTGCCTGGAGCTGCTGGTGAACAACGGGGCGGACGTGAACATCCAGGTAGGACGCGCTTCGTGTGGGGGTTACCTGAGTGCGGGAGACTGCACCCCTGCTCAGATAATCGCAGGCGGGAGAGGTGCTGCGCAGCACAAGGAACCAGGAATGGGTGCAGGCCCGGAGGCGCAGGTGTGGGCCTGCCCTTCTCTGGGGACGCACCGGGGCTGTTTCTCAGCTGAGCGGAGGAGGCGCGGAGGGCGTGTTGCACGCACAGCAGCGCAGGAAGCAGGGCGGCGCGCTCCGGCGCAGAGGCCGTGGGTGGGCCCGAAAGCCGCGCCGTGGGGGCCTCGGCAGGGCGCTGCCCGTCTCCCTCTGCGTCCCTCCTTCTCCCCACACGTGGAATCTAACTGAGTCCCGGGGCATCAGGTCTCTGCTTAGGACAAGGTCACTTTCAAAAGATCGCAGCAAGCTTCTCACTGACTGGTAGAACTGTCATCCTGTGTTAGACTCAATGCTGGGAAACGTGGGACGGCGGTCAGACAGCAACTTGCTGTGATTTTTTTTTTTTTTTTCTTTTTTTTAAGACAGTCTTGCTATGCAGTTCAGGCTGGCCTTGAAAACTCACTATGTCGCCCAGGCTGGTCTCAAACTCAAAGGGATCTTCCTGTCTCCACCTCCTGAGTGCTGGGCTTACAAGCATGCCCTACCACACCATACTTGTGACTAAATAGAGTAGAGTTTGGATAGAAGAAAGAGCCAGAGAGAAGTGTGAGCGGACTGAGGAGGGCTTTGTCTGTCGCCCCAAGGAGGTGGCTAGGGCTGCGCCTCCTCACCACCCTGGAGGATGCAGGTCAGGCCCAAGGTCCAGAAACAGAACCTAAAGGCCGAAGGTATGAGGGGAAGAAAGTAGAAAGAACTGCTTAAAAATTACCCTGCTACCTGGCAAAACAGGAAGAAAAACTGCACAAAATCGAAAGGAGCAACTCAGGAAAAACTGTCCACAATATATGTGATAAGAAAAAAGTTCATAGTTGTTTTTTGTTTTTGTTTTTGTTTTTTCCGGAACCAGGGATTGAACTCAGGCCCTTGCACTTGCCAGGGAAGCACTTATTCCATTGAGCCATCTCCCTGGCTCCTATATAGGGTTTTAAAAAAAAAATTTGTTTTGTTCTGTTTTTTGTACTGAAGGTTGAACTCAGGCCCTTGCACTTGCCAGGCAGGCGCTTATGCTGCAGAGCGATCTTCCCAGCCCTGAGGTTCAGTATGTGAAGAGTGCTTATAGGCTGACAAGAAAATGTCTGAAAAAGCACTAGAGAATTTAGAGAAAGGAAGATCGCTTTATATCCATTGAGTACATGAAAGCTATTAGTAAGTACATCACCAAGTTACGAACACTCGAGTTTCGAGCTTTCACTGGCGTGCTGTGAGGGTTCACTCTGCCACCTTCTGACCAAGTCCGGCTTAGGAACCGTCCTCCTGGTATGGAGCTAGTCCATGCGCCAGGAACTTCTTGTAGTCAGCCGTCTTCACTCTCATTAGTAATTAGGAAAGTGCAGGCCAACATAGAAATATAGATTTCTTTTTAAAAATGTATTTATTTATTTGGTACAGGGCCTTGCTACACAGCTTGGACTCATAGTGATCCTCCTGTCTCAGCCTCCCCAGCGCTGGGATTATAGGCATGTGCCACCACACCCAGTTGTGGGGCTGGCACAGTGCACCTGGGGTTCCAGGGCCAGTGCAGCATGTGGTGCTGGGGATCAAATCTGGGTCCTTGCGCTTGCCAGGCAGGCACTTAGACTGCCAAGCTATCTCCTTAGCTTAGAATTGCCTTTGAAAATTGACTTTTATCAAAGATGATAATAACACCAGTTTTATCACAGAAAAATGCAATAAATAAATATCCCATTTTTTAACTGTAAAAAGTTATGTGTGTATCCACATAGATAAGAAAACTATCTGGAGTGTAGACTAACACACTAGCATCAGTACTACTTCAGAGAGAATTGTGACTTGGAATTTTAGATTTTTTTTTTTTGCACTTTTAAAAATCTTCTGATTATGATGCACCATAATGTCTTTGTTTTTTTTAATCTAAAGATATGGTTTTTGTTACTGCACAATGAGCACATGCTATTTTTATTTCCAACACATTGAGTACGCATTATTATTATATCAGAAAAACAGAGTTTTAAAAACATCAAAAGGGCCGGTGAGTTGACTCAGCAGACTATGCCCCTGTTTTGGCAAGCGCAGGGACCAGGATTCGATTGTTGGTCCGGCATGCTGTGCCAGCCCCACCCCCAGGGTGCCCTGAGCCAGGGCCGGGGTCCAGGCATGGTGGTACACGCCTGTAACCCCAGCGCGGGGCAAGGCTGAAAAAAGGAGGATCGCTCAAGTCTGAGCTATGTAGTGAGGCCCTGAACCAAATACATAAATGAAGAAAGCAAAACAACCCAACCTATTTGCTGTTGTAGAGAGGAGTTGACTGGGTGACTGAAGGTCGGTAAAACCAAGCTGATCAGAGCTGGGGAGGGCTGGGCGGAGCCGGCTGGAGGGCGAGGTGCAGGGAGAGAATCCTTGTGCTGGCAGGTCGGGTGGGGTGGGAGGAGCTGGGGGCCGGGCACAGATTGGCACCCAGTGGGATAGGCCTGCCGCCAAGGGGCTCATCCGGCCAGACTGTCAAGATTCCAGGCCTGGCTTGCACTATGAATCACTGTGAGTCATAAACGACCTCTGTGTACCTCAGTGTGTTTATCTATAAACATGGGGACTTAATGGCACCTTCTTCATAGAGCCCTGTGAGGACGGATAGAATTATCACACCTAAATCAAGTGGAACAGTGGCTGACACAGGGTTGGCGGGGATAGGGCTTATTGCTGACATTCATCAAGATGGAGTCGGGAGGGAGGGTAGGCTGCGGGGGTGAGCCAATGGGCTTAATTCTTAGGCCCCTTTGGCACAGCCAGGCAGCGGCCGGAAGTGTGACACCAGCAGGGAAGAGCAGCGGCGAGGGCAGGAAAGACATCTGCCAAGTTCACCCTGGGAGGGAGGACAGTGTCACCCAAGGAGAGAGCAGAACTGTGCAGGCAGGGAGGCTGGGAGGTGGGGAGGATTCCAGAGCTCACGGCTCAGCTCGCAGCATCAGGAGGAGGAAGAGCAGGACCGAGGTATGGCACCGGATGAGTTAGAGAAGGTCAGAGAGGAAGCGAAGGGTGGGGTGTCACTGTGGAGGTGCCAGGCAGGCAGAAACAGAAAAGTGACTCCAGGATGGTGGACATTGGTCTTGCCGACCTGCTGTGGAGGGACATCCTGTGGATGCACCCAAGGAAGGGACACATTGAGGTGAAGAGAGTCACCTGCTCCAACATCTCCCCTTCATTAACTCAATTCCTCCACAAGCCTGTCCCCGGCGCTCTCAGGGCATCTGGAGCCTAAAACTAGAAGGCCACTTCCTGCCCAGGGACCTACTGCTTCCGGTGAGCTGGCTAGGGTCAGCTCAGAGTGGACAAGAGGCTCAACATGCCGGGCACGTGGATTTATGGCTACCTTGTCTTCTTTCCCACAGTGGGCTTGAAAGGTGCATGTACTTGGCTTTGATATTTGGTCGTCATCCCCCACCCCCGCCAAGTCATCAGTGGAACACAAGCGGTGCCCTCTCGAAGCCTCGACTGAGTCAGCAGTGTAGGAGGGGTGTCTGAACCCAGTGTGGCCGTCTTCTTCCGCTGTCTTCCTGCCCTGGCTGCTAATTCCCTCCAAATCCCCCTTGGTGTTTCCAGATGCACCCCAGAAGCAGGAACCGCCTCCTACTCCCTGGGGCCATCCTGCCTGACTCTGGAGGGAGCTGGCTAATTAAAGCTGTTATCTTGCAGGGACACATTGTCCCCTGGATTTTGACAGTGTTTGCAGCATTTGTAGAGGCGAGACAATTGGTGTTTGTTTAGAGTCCCCAAAGGTGGAGTGCAGTGGTGGAAGCAGCGGATGTCCACCCAGGGCTTCCCTTTGCTGCCCTCTAGCCTCACAAAACACTGAGAAGGTGGCTTCCTGCACAGTTACCAGGTGGAAGGAGACGGACAGAGGGCGGAGGGACGTACTCCACAGCCCCTTGCTTTCTTAGATTGCACTGGCCCTGGCTAGACACTTTGCGGAGAAGGCCATGGTACTAACCCAAATGGAGCCAGCTTTGCAAACTGCGCCCTACTCTTGAGTCTTGCCTGCAGCTCGGAGAGCTTGCAAGGCGGTAAAGCATTTAAGTTCTTTTCCAGGCATGGCAAAGTGCTTAGTTAAATATTTATGAAGATATTTTCTAAACACTGAAGTATTTATAGGTTTATATATATTTAATTAAATGATAATTACATTTTCATGTTGAACTTAAAGAGAAAATACTGGAGCAAAATTTAAAGAAACAGCTCCACCTAGGGACAAGTGGAAACATCTGTCCCCTCTCGACCTTCTGGGACTGTCACCAGCCTGTTGGAAGGGTATGTTTTAAATGCTTCTTTCCCAGTCACTGTCACTTGCAGGCCCTTTGGCTGTTTGACCTGTGTAGAGTGTGACGGCCAGGAGCAAGATCTGGTGACAGAACTTCTAGCAGCCTCCGTGGTGTGGAGTCCATGACCCGAGTTCTTGTCCTGCTTATGGCTTCTCCTTCTCCTTCTCCTTCTCCTTCTCCTTCTCCTTCTCCTTCTCCTTCTCCTTCTCCT